AGAGAGAGAGAGAGAGAGAGAGAGAGATACACACAACCACACAAATAAACACACACACACACACACACACACACACACACACACACATAGGATAATAACAACATAATAAGACAGTAACTAACTGCACTGCCCCCCTCCCCCCAACACACACGTACATGATAACAACAACAACAAATGACTGCACTACCCACTCACACAAAATAACAGCAACAAAACAAAACAGTAACCGCACAACCGACTCTCACAGGATAACAACAACATAACCAAACAGTAACTGCATTACCCATTCACGTATACTCTAACCCAACATAACAAAACAGTACTGCATTATCCATTCACAGAGTATTATAACAACAACATAACAAAATAGTAACTGCACTACCCATTCATACAGGATAATAAAAACATAAAAACAATAACTGCGCTGCCCATTCACACACCGGATAACACAAACTTGTTTAAAAAATGACCGCACTATAATAATACTTACAGTACTCACACAGGATAACAACAACATAACAAAACAATCCATAACTGCACTACCCACTCATCCAAGATAACAAACAACATAACAATAATAACACAATTCCTGCACTGACCTTTCACTTTTCCGGCACTCATTCTGCTATTCTTGCGCTCGCTTCTTACGATTCCGAAACCTCAACTCTTGTGACCCCGATAAACCACGCTCGAGGTGTGAACCCATCTGAAGCGAATTCGGTTATACAACCTGTACCGGTGTAAAGGAACATTTTGCCTCCCGTTACATTTTTCCACCCCCTTCTGCAGTGTGTCAGAGGGCGCTGTTCTGTGCAGTGGCTGACCAGCAATGGTGCATTTGTGAAATATAGTTTGTGTAGGTGTGGAACTATGTACTTGGTTTTCTATGCTTGTAGAAAATATCTAAAACGGATTTGTTCCGGCTCTTGCGCGATTAATAATAACAGACAGTATTCTTGTAGCGCAAATCCCCGCTCAACAGCAAGCTCTATGTGCTTCACAATCTATACTATTACCCCAGCAGACCTAAGAGCATTCTGAAACAACCTCAACTTCCTGGGAAGCATACAGTGCAAGCAGCCATTTTATAGACGCCAAAACACTAACATACTGGCAAAATCTTTCGCTGTCTATGGCCGGGTACCCATTCCCACCTGGGTGAAGTGAGGAAAATTCGTGTAAAGTGCCTTTCCCAAGGACACAGCGTCGGGCCAGAGGCTCGAACCCCCGAAACCTCACGATCCCGACTCAAACATACATGTCGTATTTGTATGTTTAAGTATGTAATGTGTGTATCAAGTTATTCATGATAGATAGATAGATAGATAGATAGATAGATAGATAAATAGATAGATAGATAGATAGATAGATAGATAGATAGATAGATAGATAGATAGATAGGTTGACTGATTGATAATCGCAACTAACTCACGTCCTCGGGCATGAAATAGCGAAGAGATAAACAACCAAATTATGCTCTTTGACGTTTCCCGAAGAAGACCTAAGTAAAAGGGTTTTTTAAAATTTCCTTATCGAGTATCTCTGTCTCTTATTTTTATGCTTGGTTGCAGCTGAATCCTTCTCACAGCGAGTTGGTCCTGAAGGGCAGGGTCGAAGTGACTTCAAGCACTTCTCTTCTGGGTGTCACATTATGGTATGTAAACTAGTAGAACTCAAAATTAAAGATACTACATTCAAAATTGTCTGAGAGGGCCTCATGTTGTCGAGGGGAAAATAGCTGTCTTCGGCAGTGTCATCATTTTTTGGTCTTTTTTAATGAAGGGCAAGAATGGGAAATTGCCTTTTATACATGTGGTTGCTTTTATGGAGCTTCGTTACAGCATTCGAGTTTTGTACTTTTAATGGCTTTAAGAAATTCATTCTATTTCGAACATTTTCATAACTTTTTCAACACTCTACTCAAAACGTGAACGAGCTGTAATGTACTACTGAAAACCTCACCCTAGGTGTGAGAAGAACGGCCGCAAAGAACTGTTGAGAGTCAAACGATCAAATTGAGCACTGCAAATTTTTTCCGGGTAGCTTTCAGACTTTCACACCGCCACGGACTGAAAAAAAGGCACGCTCCTGGCCTTGAACGGTAGTGGTTTACAACAACAGCGTAAAAAAAGACCTCGTAGTGTGGCCTGTACTATACTAGGAAAGAGCGAGGGAACCGGTTCCAACTGCTACATCTGTGACAACTATGCTTGTTTTTTGCAGCTTTATCAGCGGGGGTAGAAAGTGCATACAAAGCCTTGCGACTTATTGTAGTGTGTAGTCCTGAGTCTGTTCGGAAACACGAAAAAGCAGTTGACGACTTGGCGACGAGTTTTTGACAATGAAAATTACAGACGCACGACTTAAATGGTTCTGTTGTGTTGTTATGGTAGGTTTCTCTGCTTGTCATTGCTTGTTCGTCGTGCGGTACTATTTTCGGTCACACGACTGTTTAATGTATACAGTGGCGGTGTGTGGATTAAAATTTGGGTGGGGCTCAGAAATAAGGGTAAGTTGAGTTTAAAAGCAAAATTTCCTCAGTTCTGAGGCAATTCTAGATCAGTGGCGGTGGGTGGACCAAGGTTTGGGTGGGGCTTAGGTTTCTTCCACTTCTTTACCACCAAAAAGCAAGCAATAAGAACAAAACAGTGATGATTTTTCTATATTCACGGCGAGCCACGGCATTTTGAGAACCATTCAAACGAGGAGAGTCACCTTCGTCTTCCATCTCTTTGTTCTTAATTAAATTTAAGCTTCTGAATGGTGGGGACGAAGCCGTTTCACCTCCAAATTTCTCAAATTAGTTTTTATCTGAAGAAGAAGTTGCCTCAAAAGTGGTTTGGTGTAATTAATAACTGTTAAATCTCAGCGACACAAACACACAGCACTCCAAACACATACCGTCTATGAGGTGGATTGGGTCGTGTTGTTGGGGAAAATAGAACGCACCAAACAAAGGCCCAATGGGCGCATAGCTAGCGCATAGGTATCTGTGTCACTGGGGGAAAGTGTGTCGTAAACATTCACCCCATTGTCTGGGCTGGGAGAGCGTGAGCCCTCTGTGCAGTGTTATTTGTTTTATGGTCTTCTACCTTTTTACTAGAAGAGTTTCATTCAAGACGGGCGTGGGAACCGGCTTTTTCTTTCTGAGCCCTAACGACATTTGATTGGCTGTAAGTTTACTGTAGTTGTAAGCGGTGACAACAATGATTGGATAAACGGGCAAGCCGCCAAGCTGATAACTGTGTGTTCATTGTGTGCGATCATAACGGTTTCAACTGCTTATTTCGTTATTTAAGAAACTTTCATTAACTAAGGGATAGAGTTGGGGTGGGGACGGGGTGGGGGTGAGGGGCTCAAGCCCGTAAGCCCTTCACTACCCACCGCCACTGTTCTATATAGATCTATGTGTGAGTGTGTAGTACGTTTGTGCAAGTGTACGCGTGGGTATGATTGTGCTTATGTGCGTCACAAAGCCACACTCACACCCAAGTAGTAACTGGATGAGCCCGTGTAGTCGCAGAAAGCGAGACATTCCTAACGAGAGTACTATGAGCGTGTTTCGGTTACTGTGTCTCTGAGGAAAGTGTGTCATGCCCCCCCCCCCTCCCACCCGTCCCTTTGTCAGGGCTTGCAGAGGACGAACCCTCACTAACAGCAGTTTTAGACAGTTTTCTTGTTCTTCTTTTACCTTGTTAAAAGAACAATTTCACTCAAAAAGGACCGTGGCAACGGATTCATCCTCTGCAGAGCCTAAAGACATGATTTGATTGGCTCTTAGGTTACCATCGTTGTAAGTGGTGATAACAATGATTGGCTAAAGGAGCATATCTCGCGTGCTCAGTTTTTACAACAAGAGGCGGAAGATTCTGAGGCATGGTTAACCGTTTCAACTGATTATTTCGTTAATCAAGAAACATTCATGTATGTAGGAAAAGCATTGAGTGTGGGGAGGGATGGGGCCCTGTAGGCCTTCACTACGCCCCGCCACTGGTTGACGACGAGTTTTTAACACTGAATATAAAAGAAGTACGTCTTACATGGTTCTGTCGTGTTGGTGCGGTAGGTTTCTCTTCTTGTAATTGTTTGTTCGTCGTGCGGTACTTAGGTTAGTTGTTGAAGAAAAAGTACATCTCTATTTTCCACCACACTGTATAATGTATATATTATATGTATATGTGTACATGCATATGTATATTAAAAAGTAAATTAATAATATTTGCATAACACAACTTCCAGCTCAGAAGTAAGTTTTATGCGCTTTACAATCTATATTATTACATCAGCAGACCGGATAGCATTCTTGTTTGTTTGTTTGTTTTTGTAAGTGTTTTACGGCGCTCGCAACTGCATAAGGTCATATGAGCGCGTGGGACACACTAAA